ACTACGCCCCATCTGTGGTGGTTTCTTTGAGGCGCGCTCACACGCACAACTCTCGAACACTCGGTGCCGTACGGGACTTACTCTTGAATCAAATTTCGATCGACATTGGTATTGTGAAATTTCGTACTCTTGAGTTGCAACACTAGCGCCCATTGCATCCGTATGGCGTGGGTATTGAATGAACTAAATGGTATTGAGTTTGGCTGGTCGAGAAGCGAGTTGTCCTTGCTCATCACCCGCAGGCCAGTGCTTACGGTGGCCGGAGATCGTCCCGCAATCCCCGACGCTCAGAGTGTCTCCCTCGCGACGGCTGGGGGTGCGGAGGTTGGTTTCCTTATCCACCCCGGTTACCATCGCGGATCACATTCCCGAGAACAAGACGGTGCTAAGGCCATGCAGCAGGGCACACCGACACCGTATGCTCCCTCGTTTCCTCCGGGTAGTCTTCGCAGTGATGACATCGAGGTGATTCTTCCCGCCTCAGGTCTAACAGGTACCTTCCGAAGCTTCCGTGGCCAGTAAGCATATAGGTCAGGACGCCATAGCGTGACTCAAGCCACTCCTTAAAGAGAGGGCCCCATCAACCCTTAGATCTAAGTGCTCTGTACCCCGCCCACAGCCACGTTAGGTTATTAATCCGTTGGGTTATTTTAAAGATTTTCGTTAATTTGTGGATCTCCTCATTTCTGATTGGAAAATAATAACTAATGGTTCCGAAAAACAAATTAATCTCCAGCGATCTATGGCCGACTATAAAAATGGATCTTCGAATAACAAAACTAAACTTCCGAATAGAATATTGAACCTACGACAAAATTACTAAGTTACCGACAACAGACGTTTTAGGTTAGGTTAGTATTGTAGCAATAAACAGTCATGTAAAGTAGTCGGAAAGTTAGTATTTTAGGTAATAGATTTAATATTTTCAGTAAGGACAATTCTTCTTTTCTTGTCGGAGCTTTAATACTACCCTTTATGATTCAAGTATAGCCTTAGCGAGCTGAGTGACCTTACAAAGTTACTTACAAAGCTCATAGTAAGAGCGCCTTACCTTTACACAAGTCATCAATGATAACACAATGGTTGTTGACTTCCGTCTTGAGATACAGAAATAAGTGGGACGAGAAGATGTTGCGTTGCGTTGTTTCCTGAACGCCTCCCATTCAAGTTGGATACGGCGATCGATTCTCCATATCCTACGTGCAATATTTGACATAATTTTTTGTCTTGTCCAAGTTTATATGGAGCCCTATCTGTTGTGATGCTCGATAGAACATCATGATAACAATTTCGTCGGAAGTAAGTCTATTGCCATATAACGGACACAATCCAGACTCCGTGCTACTACTGGGATTTTTTGAAAAAACCCAGTAATACTTTGCTCGACCCGGGAATCGGACCCGAAACCTTTTGCCTGGCAGTCACACTTGCGACCATTCGGCCAATGAGGCTGCCTAAACCTTGTAGACAGCTCAAAAGTGAGATATGTAAGTCTAATTCTTCAGTATGGTGTTGTCACTTTCTCGAATAAGTGAACATACCTACTTTAGTATTCTGTTCCTTGCCTACGACGTTATTACTTCAAGTAAGACGAAGTTAAAGTGAGTCTGAAGGACTTTCAGTCCGGCTTGATATCTGACTTTAATGTGTCGACGGCCCATAGTGTTAGTAAACAGTACAGACTTGAAAAACTATGTTAGTAGTAATACACGAGTATAAAAATAAAATAATACATATTCACAAGTACAGCACAGATTATTATTTAAAAAGTTTTGTCAAGCCCCACGTCTGACATGTAGCTTGATAAATCTATCTATTGTAGGCCCTTCTAGCCTTTCTGCACACACCTTCAGAACGATGTTGCTTCCCCTCGGTCTGCGCACCACTGATGCCAATTTTTTGAGCATGATCGCAAAATAATCATCAATGCGCATCCGAGAATATACCTGACACACTACAGTAAGGTGGAAGCCTCAACTGCGCCCTGAAGGTGTTATTATAATAACGCCTAAAGGGGCACTGCGTATTCAATATATTGAATGCCTATTGGGAGGAAATCCCTATTGGGCCTCTATATTTTTATGAAATAGAAGGCAGAAATATCAATGTCCGCTCGTTTGCCTCCTATCTGCTGATCTATAGCAGCTATATGCTGATTGTCATCATCACCTGATAAATTTATTATCACGTGATGGCGATCGGCGCCGCCCATGGACACTCAACAACAGAGGACAGGTGCATTGTCGACTTTTAAGAAGCATACGCTCTTTTCTTGAAGAAATAAATTAAAAACACATTTCTATGGTTTGTATACTTTATTTAATCATGATAAAAAGATTACACAATCATAATATTCTTACATAGATCGTCTGGACAGTCCACGCTACCATCAGTTGACTGAACAATCTCTACACTACATGAGTCACTGTTTACATGTTACCATTAGCTCATGACGATACAAAATTCATAATATTAATAAATTACATAATTATACATAGCCAAATAATATATTTCTAATACTTTTATGAGAAATAATCCTAAATAGAATTTGAACCGAAAATATTAGACTAAATTGACAAATATTTTGATGAGAGGAAAATCTTAAATAATATCGGATTTATAATAATAAAAATTATTCTTACATCTATTAATAAAATGTCTTAAAATTACAAAAAAAATGTAAATCAATAATAACTTACTAGATTTTTTGGGAAATATTCTTAAAAAATCATCAATAATAGTCTATTTTTTATGGAATAGGGGCCAACTGTGCAATTTCGTGCGTATATTAAGAAAAATATGAATAGCGCCGTTGCGGTTGAGTTGGGCGGTGCTGGTGTACGTGTCATGTTCGTGAACGGGCGCCGTCAACTGGGACTGGTCAGCTCCAGACTGTATTATTGTTCTTAAGGTTATTTACTTTTCTGATCACTTTGACTGGATTTTAGTGTTACATTGTTCTCGCACAATCCAAACAGCAAAACTATGTAACTAGTAAATTGTATTGTGAACCTGATTGAAAAATAGTAACCTATGGAGTTTCTTGCTCGTTCTTCTTCATAGGAACCTTGGAATGAGCAAATAGCTTCACTTCTTATTATTTTTTTGTTGATGTTCAAAAGTGCCATTTGGCCTAATTGAAATAAATGATTTTGACTTTGACTTTGAAAAATATCAATTGGGAAGATGACGGGGTATGAAAATTAAAAATCTAATTAGTCCGTAAGTTAGGTAATGAAAAAATATTAGACACGTATTTTTTTTATCTTGTATAAGAAAACAATGCTTAGATTAAATAAAATGACTGCACGATTAGTGCTGTGGCTGGGCTGGGCTGCCGCGCAACGTGTAGCGGGTTCGATTCTCGCACGGAGCAACTCTTTATGTGATCCATAAATTGTTGTTTTGGGTCTGGGTGTCATGTGATGTTTGTAAACGTGCGAATGTTCCTGATAATTTTTTTTAAGGGTGGAAATACATCGAATGACTGCTCCCGCATGTGTGAGGCAGGAGGGAGTGTCAGACTCTTACTGACTAAAAACCACCCCGTTCCTTCTCCTGCCCGTCAAGCCGCAGCTCCGGTAACCCGTTAGGTTCTCCGCGACTCCGAATCGGCAAATGTTCATAGGTCTAACGGGCGCTAACGTTTTTTGTGGGGCGTTTTTCGTTTTTCGGGTGGCGCAAATATAAAAAGGGTATTTTTGGCCAATCACGTCAGTTGTCAAAATTTATAACGACCAATGTAAACAAAATTTTAACACTAGTCAATTCCCTATTGGACGAAAAACTAGAGAGTCACATTAGTGCAACCTGATGAGTAAAAATACAATAGGCAACAATGGAATATCAAGTAACACGAGGTCTCCCTAGAGATGTGCTGTAACAGGCGTTGCTCCGTGGGGGCTCCGAACCAGGGTGCTTACTCTTGAAACCAATCTCAATGTCAATGCAATTTCAATCCAATAAAATCTCAATAATTATTCAATGTCAACACTATACAACCACAATCGTAGCTGTTACAATAGCATTCAGAGTACGGAATATAAAGACAAACTCAATACCATTTAGTTCATTCAATATCCACGCAATACGGATGCAATGGGCGCTAGTGTTGTAACTCAAGAGTACGACACAATATCAATGTCGATCGATCGGAATTGGATTCTAGAGTAGGCGCCCAGGTCTCTTCGGAGGACCCGTTGCCCCTTACAGGTGCTCAGGGTGGCCACCGGGGTGATTTTAGTGAGATTCGAAGCCCACACTCCCTAGTCTTTCTCCCCAAAAGGTCCCCCCTTTTGTAGGACTCCCTCATCATAAAAAAGCCCCAATAGAACAAATGATTTAACTTAAATATATTAGATTATGAATATTAATACACTAAATTACTTATTAATTAAAATGGAAATTTTATAATAACTATCGTGAGACATACTAAATTAACTAAAACCGCGGGTTACTCACGTGAATATATTGAGAGAAGCTCTACTAGTTTCGAACCACAGAGGGGTTCTTTCTCATGAGCAGCGTGCGCGGTCTATTGAACAAACTAGTAGAGCCTTCCTCAGTATATTCACGTGAGTAACCCGCGATTTTTAGTTAAAATGGAAAATTTATTTCTTATACTAACTTACAGACATAATATTGGAATATATTTTTGCAGTTACATAACATCACGCCTTTTATCCCCGAAGGGGTACGCATTACATTACGGCACTTAATGCCACTGTACAATGTAACACCCACTTTTCACTATTTATGTTATGAGTCCCATGTAATAGGGGGTGAGCCTATTGCCATTTTCGAGGCACAATTCCAGACTCCATGCTACTACTGAGATTTTTTTTAATAACCCAGTGTTACCTTGCCCGACCCAGGAATCGAACCCGAGACCCCTTGCCCGGCAATCGCACTTGCGACCACTCGGCCAACAAGGCAGTCTTCAGTCATTTTTGCAGTTTTATTTAAATATAATCAACTTCTGTTAACTTTATATATATTATAACTTCCGTAATACTAAATTATTATGTTCCCAGTTTGCTCACGTAACTGTTTGACGAGGACCTCGACTAGTTTGGACCAGAGCAGCCAATAGCAGAGACAGTCGCCGCGTCGCGGGGCGCGGAATGCTGCTCATGAATATGAGCCTCTAGAATGGCTTGAAACTAGTCGAGTTCCTCGTCAGTAAGCCGTAAACATAATAATTAATTTGTGTTAAGAATAAATCTGTTGTTTAAGACGAAATACAGGGAGGGTCTGAATAAAACCTTGTATAATATAGGGTGTTGTTCAAGTCATAATATAGGGTTTTATTAAACACGTCCAGCCTTACAAACAGGCTGTTTAAATAACATTATACATAGGACACAGGGTGTTAAGCTGTTGTACAAGTCATCATACAGGATGTGTCTAAATATAATCTCATGTAATACAGGGTGTTTCAAAATACCTTTAGCCTTATAAAAGGGTGATTTAACAACATAATCTTATACAAATGGTGTTACAATTTAATTCATTTGATGTATAGGTGCAGAAGGCGGTGGGAAGCATCGTACGTGTTCGACTCCTGCTCTCTCCTCGTCGGCCGCTAGATGGCGCGCTAGTACTCCGAATATTTGAGAGTTCAGCACTTGGAAGCGACGGATGCGGTCCACCATACGTTTTAGGGGCTGTGGACATTTGTAAATATTATTAAATATAGCGTGCTGGCCCGGAGATTAAAGGCTTCTCGTGCAAGAGGGTGCGGGTCCGAAACCCACCAACGGCAAGTACCAACGTGACTTTTTCCGAGTTATATGTACTTTCTAAGATTATTTTGATACCACTGACAAACGGTGAAGGAAAACATCGTCATCGTCAAACTATCGTGAGACATACTGCATCAACTAAAAACCGCTACTAAAACTAACTACAGAGGGGTTCTTCCTCATGAGCAGCGTGCGCGGTCTATTGAACAAACTAGTCGAGCTTTTCTCAGTATATTCACGTGAGTAACCCGCGAATTAAAGTCAACTATTTTTTTAATGGGGGAATATCACTGAGTGTCTTCTCCCGCCTGGGTGAGGCGGGAGGGAGTGTCAGACTCTTACTGACTAAAAACCACCACGTTCCTACTCCTGCACTTCGAACCGGAGCCCCGGCAACCCGTATTGGCATCAGCCCTACTGGGTCCCATTCGTAGTAGCCTGATGGCTCTTTGAGGCGCGCGCGGCCCGGTCGGCGCCGTACGCTCGGGTCTGGTTCTAGTCGGGCGGCGAGCTACCCATGCTCGACGTCCGCAGTTAACTATAAAAACACACAATAATACTCACAATTCCTTTAACCGACTCATCCTTTCCGTCGACTCGCTGCACTCTTAGAATATGGTAGCAGAAATCTAACGCTTCGAACCTTCTCTGCTGACCCAGTAACGCTATAATCGTACACCCGGCCCAGTGGAGGCCTTCGCCGAATAGTTCCCTGTAAAAAACAAAGTTATAAATTACCATCGCAATTGGGATGATGACGGGGTATGAAAATTAAAAATTTAATCAGTCCGTCAGTTAGGTAATGAAAAAATATTTAGTCGTATAACAAACAAAGAATACTTCGATAAAACGAATCAAAGTTTACGAGTGGAAAGTACCTAACTATGTCATTTTTGAGTAAAAAAAAAATCAATCAGCCGAACATAGTACCTCCTCCTTTTATTGAAGTCGGTAAAAACATACATAGAAGTGACGTCACGCGACATTTCAAATCAATATATCGTCGAAAGTTTTCGTTTCCGTAAGAAAATAAAAAATACGTGTCTAATGATTTAAAATAATCTACCAGACGGAAATGAAATTAGTCATATAACCGATTTTTGCCGCGGTTGCTGTATTAGTCCATTGGAGTATTACAATAACAGGCCGAGTATTGCATTCGCAAATTTTTAAGAAATAAGTACGCTGTTTGGCGCTAAAAAAACCGTGACGTCACAATACCCAATCTCGTACAATATTCATAAAAAACTACGTTTTGTAAAACAAAATCCTCACTTATTTCCAAAATTGAGCTCAGGCAGAAATGTTCCCTTACGCAGCCAATATGTTAATAAACTAAGCCTTAGCATAAAGTTTGTTTGGTAATGCCCCTAGAATTTATAATAAGATTCCCAATGAAACAAAAAATACAACAGTAATTAGATTTAAAAGTATTCTCATTAAAGTATTATTAAACAAATGCTATTACTCAATTGAAGAATTCCTTAATGATAATATTTTTTGTCAAATTTATTTCTTGACAATTTTAATTTTTTCTTGACAATTTTAATTTATTCCTAGACAATTTTAATTGACATAATTTTGACATATCTTATTTTTATTATTTTATTATTATTGTACAAAATTTAACTCAAATTGTAATATTCTAATAATGTTTCAAATATATGTACCTAATATATTTGTATGTCTATCACGACAAAACATAGTAGACTATATTTATATGTAAGATCTTATTATGTAAACTACCTATGTTTAACAAATAAATTATTCTGATTCTGTTTTTGACAGTTCGGAAAAAGTATTGAATTTGACTAGTTGACAAATACCGAATTAGATAAAAGTTTGTAAAAAGGATACTTACTCGACGGTGAACTGCGTATCGCCAACAGGAATGCAATACAGGAACTGCAGAGCTGACCACAATCTGAAACAATGAAAATATAAGATATAACTCATACCCAACTACATGGGACTCACATAACAAAAAACTTCACGCCTTTTATACCCAGGGTAGGGTAGGCAGAGGTGCACATTACGGCACTTAACGCCACTGTACTATGTAACACCCACTTTTCACTATTTATGTTATGAGTCCCATGTAATAGGGGGTGAGTCTATTGCCATATACCGGGCACAATTACCAGACTTCGTGCTACTACTGCGGACCCATAACATAAATAGTGAAAAGTGGGTGTTACGTTGTACAGTGGCATTAAGTGCCGTAATGTTCACGTTCCTACCTTCGGGGATAAAAAAGGCTTGATTTTAAGTTATAAAATATACCTTTGTAACAAAAAATCACTGTTTACATTACAACTGTCGTGAGACAAACTAAATTAGTAATTATACTCGCTACTGAACCGGGCTGTTCATGGATATGAACCTCTAGCATGGGTTGAAACTAGTCGAGTTTCTTGTCAAACAGTTATGTGAGTAAACTGAAAATACAATAATGGAGGAGCGGATAGGAAGAATAAAAAACATTGTGATACAAATGATAATGAATTAATGATAAATTACCCCCCTTTTTGAGGGGGGAAAGTAATTCAATGATTTATCCCACCCAGGCGAGAGGGAGTGACAGACTTGTTGACTAAAAACCACTCCGTTCCTACTCCTGCACTTCGAGCCGGAGCCCTGGCAACCCGTTAAGTTCTCCGCTGCTCCGTATCGGCATTAGCCTTACTGGGCGTATGCGATACATTACCTGTGGAACTCGTTGGTGTCGTCTGTGTGCGCGGGCGCGTGGTGGTGCGGCGCGGGCGGCGCGGGCCAGGCCGGGGCGCCCTACTGGGTACTACATACCCGTGGCGTACGATACATTACCTGTGGAACTCGTTGGTGTCGTCTGTGTGCGCGGGCGCGTGGTGGTGCGGCGCGGGCGGCGCGGGCCAGGCCGGGGCGCCCTACTGGGTACTACATACCCGTGGCGTACGATACATTACCTGTGGAACTCGTTGGTGTCGTCTGTGTGCGCGGGCGCGTGGTGGTGCGGCGCGGGCGGCGCGGGCCAGGCCGGGGCGCCCTACTGGGTACTACATACCCGTGGCGTACGATACATTACCTGTGGAACTCGTTGGTGTCGTCTGTGTGCGCGGGCGCGTGGTGGTGCGGCGCGGGCGGCGCGGGCCAGGCCGGGGCGCCCTACTGGGTACTACATACCCGTGGCGTACGATACATTACCTGTGGAACTCGTTGGTGTCGTCTGTGTGCGCGGGCGCGTGGTGGTGCGGCGCGGGCGGCGCGGGCCAGGCCGGGGCGCCCTACTGGGTACTACATACCCGTGGCGTACGATACATTACCTGTGGAACTCGTTGGTGTCGTCTGTGTGCGCGGGCGCGTGGTGGTGCGGCGCGGGCGGCGCGGGCCAGGCCGGGGCGCCCTACTGGGTACTACATACCCGTGGCGTACGATACATTACCTGTGGAACTCGTTGGTGTCGTCTGTGTGCGCGGGCGCGTGGTGGTGCGGCGCGGGCGGCGCGGGCCAGGCCGGGGCGCCCTACTGGGTACTACATACCCGTGGCGTACGATACATTACCTGTGGAACTCGTTGGTGTCGTCTGTGTGCGCGGGCGCGTGGTGGTGCGGCGCGGGCGGCGCGGGCCAGGCCGGGGCGCCCTACTGGGTACTACATACCCGTGGCGTACGATACATTACCTGTGGAACTCGTTGGTGTCGTCTGTGTGCGCGGGCGCGTGGTGGTGCGGCGCGGGCGGCGCGGGCCAGGCCGGGGCGCCCTACTGGGTACTACATACCCGTGGCGTACGATACATTACCTGTGGAACTCGTTGGTGTCGTCTGTGTGCGCGGGCGCGTGGTGGTGCGGCGCGGGCGGCGCGGGCCAGGCCGGGGCCGACAGACACGCGCGCAGGCGCCGCAGGACCACGGAGAACAGGGACAGGCCGCAACACAGCCTCTCGCGGGTCAACAGGTCGCCTTCGCGAGACAACTGGCCTTGCTGGGAATATAAAAGGAAAACCGCTGACTCACGTTTCTTCATTTCTATTTTACTTATTTGGGAAAGCAAACAATGACAAATTACACTATACATTATGATGACACAATACATAAGTAGTTCGAACAAATGTATAAACAACGGCGTTTTCCACAGAATATAAATATAACCTCTCGCGCACCTCTCGTACACACGGGTAAATATTTTAATAGAAAAGCCAATTAACTATTCTGTTCAATCAGATAAAGAACGGGTTGCAAACTTGAAAATTTACGTCACAGAAAAAATATCCAATCAGTGCGCGTTTCTCGTACACCCGTGTGTACAATTGCGCGATGGGCATTTTACACCCGTGTGGACGAGAAACACGCGAGGGGAAAAAAGAAAACATAAATAACATTACAATACATTAATTAACATTCCCGTGACATACTACTGACATTCCTCTTGTGTGAGCTACTACAGGCTCGCACAAAGTGAATAAAAAGTGAAAGTAAAGGTGGAGTTTGTTACATGTTTGAACATCACTAATTAGTAAGTAGTCGCCCCCTCACTATAATGTGTTATACAGTGAAACTTGGTTAAGTGGGACCTTGATAAGTGAGAAACCTCCATAATAGGCATGGCGACTATTTTTTAATTTTTTGTCCGTCTTTTAGATATTTTAAAAATCTTCGATACGTATTTTTTCTTTTTTCTCGTATCCAAAAAAACATGTAGATATTTTGAGTTAAAATGACGCGTGACGTCACAATTAGGTACGATTTCTCCGTAAGTGTGACGTCAACACCCCCCACTCCCTAACTTTAATGCGGAATAACTACGTATTCTTCTGTTAATTTGATAAAACAAAAAATACGTGTCTGATATTTTCGTGCGATCTTAATGACGGACTAATTACTTTTTAGATTTTTTTACCCTGTCGACACGCCTATTGGAACTAATGCTGAGGTCCCAACACTTTGGCACTGAATTACCTATGTTAGTGGGACGAGGTAAAACTCTATATCTGGGATTTGTTCTTTCGATTTATCATCATAGTTACCTCTATAACTGAGATAGCGAGTAAATTTTATATGCATAAACCTCTGTAACTGAGATAACATTGTTTGTTTACTCATTCTTATTCTACCCACAAATTCCATACGTAATTCCAAGTCCACTTCTATTAATGGAACCCTCTGTAAATGAGACAGATATTTATTTATACCTGTATATCTGAGACACTGGGTGAGTGGAATACCTCTATAAGTGAAACGACATTGCAGGTCCCTTGATGTCTCACTTAACCAGATTTCACTGTATAAGGTAGAACACTATTCATTAACGTCGCTGTCTACCTGTAGTAGGGGAGCCCATGAAGGGATTTCGGTAGTTACTCGAGAGCGTCAGATTAACATATGGGGAAAACCTAGTGTCATGTTGAATATACCCAACATATATCCGATCTGATTAGAAGGGGGGGACTGAAAATTAAAAAAAAGTCTGACTAAATAAAGTCAGTTTCGTCAGATTAAGGGAAGGTAGGTCAATACCGTGCTAAAGGAAGTGCGTTTAAAAAATCTGCCCATTCCAACTTGATTTGCAAGAGTGGGGGGATTTTGAAGGGTTCTCGTTTGTACTCTCCAGAACATTCAACCCCACCATGCAAACTGGCAGATTAAGAGTTTTTTATTATTAAATACACATGGAGCATGTACATTATCAATATCTGACACGCTCGATCATTAGAACAAAAGTTACGCTTAACAATTTCAAAGATCTGTAGATTCCCCCTTCCCCCACTGGTGGAAGAAATTGTCACTAAACCATTTCTTCTTTCTATCAGCATATCTTCAAAATCCAGTAGGTCCCAAGGACGCTCAAGTAAATCCCAATTTAGCATCGTGGGCTCCCCTACTACTGTCATAGTCTAAGTGTGAGTACACGTCGTGCGCCCTGCACATTATTGTAATAAATCCAAGTATAATAAATCCGTCTACAATTTATTAATCGACCAACGTAACATGGTGTCAGAAGTCAACGTACGCAAGTCGTAAATGTCGTGGTGGCCCGGAGGTTTAAGACGCCCGCTTCTCATGCATGAGGGTACGGGTCCGAAACCTACCAACGGCAAGTACCAATGTGACTTTTCCCGAGCTATATGTACTTTCTAAGATTATTCAGACACCACTGACAAACGGTGAAGGAAAACATCGTGAGGAAACCTGGGCTTATAATTTCTGACTATAAGTTTGTAATCGCCAACCCGCATTGAGCCAGCGTGGTGAGTAATGCTCAAACCTTCTCCGTGTGAGAAGAGGCTTTGCTCAGCAGTGGGCAGCAGCTTTGCTCAGTTATAGGCTGTTGATGAATGAACGTCCATAAGTGGATCCAGAAACATGAACAAAGAAGAAATAAGCGACGCGAGGTACCACGTGGCCGGTATTAAAAACCTCGTGGTGTCGTCGGAGGCAACAGCCCACAACGCGGAAGCGTGGAAAAAATGTGTGTTTTTTCTCCAAATCCCTCGCAAGCCGACCCTCTGTGTTCTTCATTTACCTTAATTCTATTGAGTCGCGAGGAATATTAGTCTTTGACCTGTTTACGAAGTTCCACATAGTTTTGGATTTGTTGAATGAGTTTGAAGTTGAGGTTCAAACAGAACTTACCTTAGCGGTACCATATTTGTCGACATTTTGCACAATCTGCAGCGCTGCGTATTTCGCTTCGAGACGTTTCTGTTTCGTTTCAGGCTTTTCACCCTCTGGAAAAATAATATAAATTATATAAATAACATGGCCACACA